ACTGAAAGAACTCAGGTGACAAGGCCTCGCAACTTATTCGTATCGAAGCTGATTTTGTAACTTTCCAAACAGGCCACATTTAGATATTTATTTATCTAACCTAAAGGGATGGAAGGCGATTGATTTGACCAGGATTCAAACCCACGATCGTTGGATTGTAAGTTTTCTATTCTACCGATTAAGCTGTCCTACATTCTGTGCAACAACTCAACTTAGCTCTTCAGAATCGTTAATATATACATTTCTTTCCTGGACATGCAGTGTGCCTTCCTGTCAGTCGGTTGCAATTCCACGAGCGGATCACCTTTATTTTGCATCCTTTTCATTTCGCACGTTTGCCGATGTCGCACCAATGAATTTTTTAAGATGCTGGTTCGTTAATACTTTCAGGGGCATGGGAACAAGGTTGTACTGGACAAATTGCTAAATTCTGTATTGCTGTTTGTCTAACATTGCATCATCAGGCATATATGCATACCGGTACTTAGGTTGGTGATAACCTGAGAAAGCTGGAAGGTCAGTCGAACCTTTTATAGTTCGAAGTTATTATTAGTAAATTTTAGAAATGACTTTATACTAACCAAAAGCTTTAAGAATCAGAGTTAAAGAATCAGATGAAACTACAAAGCCAGATGAAATGCCAAAAAAATTCATGCACACAGTTCCCTTAAGTAATCAGTAACGCATATTATCCCGTAAATATTACAGCTGCCTCTTTGGAAGAGATATTTCACTCGCCGCTTAAATAAATGCATATTGAATTTTTGCAAGTGTGGGTTCCAAAATAAACAGCTTCTTATATTAAAATCAAATCTGTGGCGCAATCTGAGTATGCTACAAGTTTCTTTGAGCGGAAGTGCAGTCAAGAATGAAGTTTCAAACAAAATATTTTAATCAAATGGAAATTACCTTTAGCTTGCTTTAAACCCATTCTGTATTAAATATAACTGTAAGGTAAGTCTGTGGTGTAAAAGTAACTGCAATTATGTAGAAAGAGCGAAATCAGCGTTGGGTTCAATCATTCATTCACCCAATTTCAGTGCCTGTTATTATTGTGAGTTACAAGTGCAGTGGCATCATCTCAACAGTTCCGGTTCTTTGGAACTTTGTTATGCTTCAATGGCTGGATCCAAATTTACGACAGTACTAGGCCATGCGATAAAGTACAGGGTGAAGCATCTGTAATAATGTATACTATAAAGCATTTAGTCCACGGTCCGTCGCTAGGCTGTGTTCCATGAAATTTTCTAAAAACCGTCAGCCACGCTACTATTTCCTGTGGCATCCTCACCACATGCCCGACCACCGCAACTGTAATCTCTCGATTTTAAGACGAAGCAATTCACAATCGACGGTATCTCGAAATATCGCGTTGAGAACTTTGCTAATTCATCACATCAGGAATCCTTCGAGCAAACATTTCTGTCGCTTGCATCCGGCTTCGTACTTTCTCTGCCAACACAAAACACATGCAGACGTTCCTTGCAAGGCAACAGATTTTGAGAGCTCTTCAGTCCTTGAAACCCAAATTCTATTCGTTATGTACTTCTCTTGGCGAGGAATGTACCGTTTCGTGAATCAGCACAACAAATGACACTGACGTCCGAAATAAAAGCGCTAGGCTTGAAAAGTCACAGAATCGAGACAACCTTCACAAAATAGGCTTTATTAAATATTCAGACGGAAAGCTTTTACGAACTGCACTATACATAAATATTCCTATTGTAATTCTTTGGCAGTGAGTTGCGTCGCTTTACACTGCAAACACTGTTTCATATTCGCTTTCTGCATCAGTAACTCAGTTTCGATTGCAGTTTATCCCTTCGAATCGCGGAGAGAGACGCATCAGTGTCCTGAGCTACTGTTTTAACTCAGCAAAAAATTATCCGAGTCATGAGCCGTCTGTTGAGACACTTGCACCATGTCCATCTTGCATGTCCAGGGGATCTTCGTCAAGTCGGCTCTGTAAGGAATAGTCGTTCATTTTTCCACCTGGAAGCATTCCTAAGATGTACTCAAACCATCGCACCTGTGACTTCCCCTTCTGGAGACGCAGTGGCTGTATACCAGGGTTCTCGTGGATATCTGAACTTCGGCTCAAAAAACAGGATTCGTCTCAAAAAGCCTATTTCAGCCGCTTGTATCCGGGATCAAATTTTTTCAGTCATAGCCCACGGCTCATGAATGCAGGCAAGAATGGGAATTAAGATCGACTTGAACACGAGAGCGTAGCTTTCAGACTGTCTCGCTTTCGTCACAATGGCTCAGCTAATTCACGCAGAACACCACTGCTGTTCCAATCAATGGTCGATCTCCCATTCTTTATCACCAACAAACAGGTCCCAGAAGTACTTGAACATCTGCATCTGTTCCACTGCTTCATCGTTTAACTGCAGAGCACAACCGGCAAGGGAACAAAAAAGCACAAGGCTTTTCGTTTCACACACGTTCTCACGCATGCCGGTCACGTCGCCCTCGGCTGCGAACCTTTCTAGAGTGCTACAGATGAGTTTTAGAAAATGCAAACAAAACAAAACTGCCTGCAAATAGCAACATTCCGGTCTTCACATCTAGGCCGCCACATTCGTCGCTGTGGCTGCATCTCACGATCTTATCCATTGCAACACAATGAGAAAAGGGAACAGAACGCAGCCTTGGCAGGGACCTGTGCCAGCGCTCAAAGGTCCCGACCTAACGCAATTTTCTGACACAGCACCTGTAATCAACATATAGTGACTGCATCGCTCGTAGTAACTGGCCATCCATATATATTTGCAGGCATGCCCACAGCTTGTTGCGCAGCATCTGGTCATACGCTTTCTCCAAGTCAACAAAGCATATGTAAACCAGATGAGAGAACTCCCCCAATTTCTCAACAATTTTATGTAAGGACAGGGCCTAGTCAGAGGTGCTTCCGCCTTACTTGAAATCACACTGCTCCTCCTCTACCGTAGAGTCAGTCATTCTGCGGCACTTTCTTTCGAACGCCGCTGAGTAGACTTCCCGGAAGCCTCAATAAGGTAACGCCCCAATAATTGAAGCACTCCCTATAGTCGCCCTTCTTGAACAATGGTACTACAACCCCGGTCTCCAGTCCGGTGGTGTCTTCCCCGTAGAGACTGCGGTTTGACAGACAATTATTGGCCACAATATGCTTTGTTCGCTTAATGCTGCATGCATTTTAGGGCAGAATTCATTGATTCTAGTAACCTTGCTACTTTTCAAGCATCGGTGACTTCATCTACAGAAAGACTAGTATCTGGTACTTGCTGCTCTTCAGCCGAGTCTTCGTCTAGTTTCTCGAGGTTAGGGAGTTCATCAAAGTAGTCTCTCCATCGCCGAAGAATATCCTCATCGTTGGTAAGAGATGTCTAGAATTGTCCTTCAGAACTCTTAAACTGTCCTTCTTTCCACCTTGGAGGCGGAATATCTTGTTTGCCGTCTGGAAATTCGACTTCAACACTTCACTTAACTTCATCCATAAACTGGATTTCACTTTGGCCACTGCTTTCGATGCCGCATCACCTGCTTCTTCGTACTGCGTTCGAGCTGAAGGCTCTTTGTTTCATACACTTTCTCCTGTAGCCGTAATTCTTTCCTTTTCTGAAATCCTGAGAACGCTTGCGCATGTGATATGCATGAAAAATAGACAGATGATATTCGCAAATGTCGTAAACGTCAAATGTTTTACGTACAAATGAAATCAATTTTGTTTCAACTAACAGATTTTGGAACACGCTGGAGTTGAAAATCGTTCTTTGATCAGCAAAGCATCATCACCGCAGGGTCAAATTGGTGGACATCACTGCTCAGAAGTCGCTCTTTCACATGAATAAGGCGAAATTACGGAAAATGGTAAACAGTGTATGAAGCACTGCCTAAGGGAACGTCTAGAAATATGGTGATTTGACCTGAATGTCGTATAAGGCAACTTCGTAAAATCGGTAAAGTGTACAAATGAGCTACAGCGATTAAAAATTCTAGGGCTTGAACGAATTTCGGGTGCAAGAAAGACTGCTTTGAAAAGAGAAAACATGCCAATACCTTATATGAACCTGGCAGAGTCCAGCGTCATAAGCAAGATAACGGACTAAAAGTGAAAGATCTGCTACGCTCTAGAAATGAAGAACCGCAGCAAATGGTAGAGAAAAAGACAAGAGAAGTGAAGAGTTAACTGTAACACCTGAAACCTTACAAGGGAAAATTCGTACCGCCCTGCTTCATATAGACAATCAGAAAACTACGTCTCGATGCCATATATTCAACACGAAAAGAATTACTTAAACAATATCACGGCAAAAATATTTACAAGATATCTACAATGAGAAGAAAAGCATCCAGTATTTCCTAGCTGCTTTTTATATAAAACGGACCAAACCACTGATAAGTTTCGGTCGGAGATTCGTCCATTTTACAACGCGATTCTGAATCTGTTCTAAACGAACGCACGCACTGCTAACACTGCTACACCATCTCAAAAAATAGGAGCACTAAGCTTTAGAAACAGAATTCACACGTTTTAAAATATGTTGCAGCGTTTTCTAACGTTGGTTTCATCATGGATGAAATTAAGCCAATATTTGCTAAATTCCAAAAGCAGCACAAACTTTACGAAGGAATAAACCGGAGCAGAATATTAAAAAGCCACACGATTTGGCGATTTTACATTCGAAAACCGCTGCACAAACGCAAGATACATCTAAGGGTGTAATCCTGACTTGTAAGTCTTTCCGAGGCAGGTAAACGAGAATGACTGTTTGTGAAAAGGAAATCAGATTCTACACGAACTGCACCGAAATTTTACTCAGATATACGGCTCAGCTGACAAGGGTGACACGCCATCGTTACGGTAAATGACTAATAATTTTATACAACAAAACAAACATACGAATGTACACTACGTTTGAAGCAAGAACAAACGCTAAAGTTATGTTTGCTCTGGTCGACGCAGATCTACCAAGACTGTGCTAGCCCCCAGTACGACAGGCGCACTCGGGTGACCCAGTGCCTAGCTGGTCTGCACCAGGCG